TTTGGACAATATTACTCATGCATGAGGAGATTGGAGGAAATTTTTGAACATTTCACTTATTGTTGCCATCTTACGCTTTTACCGCGCATGGCATCTATCCTACCAGGTCCGCTCTAGTGCTTACCCCAGTACTTTCCCTGACCCCTCCTCTTACCCTTAACATCAGCCTGCTTAACAACAAAGACACCACGGTCAATAGTGTTGATAACAACGTAACCAGACTCAAAGGTGTAAGCAGACCAGGTGCCAGCGTCCCAGAGAGCGTCACCGCCGCCGGGCTTGACATCATCCGGAGGGTAGACGTCAAAGTAGGCAATCTCCTTGACCTTGGAGCCGTCGGGGAACTTGGGGATGCTGGAGACGTCGAGGATACGGAGACCGGCTTGGTAGTTGGATTGGTAGTCAAGACCGTCGTAGACGTATTGGTTGTGGTCGACGGAGCGGGTCGTGGTCTTGTAGTAGCCGGTGACGACGGGCTTCTCGAGGTTCTGGATGTCCCAGATGTAGGTCACGGCGAAGCCGTCCTTGGCGGGCGAATCAACGGCAGTGCGGTTGGGGTCGATTTGGCCCTCGTCAAGCTCATCGTCCATGACGATGTGGGTCTGCCACATGGCATCGAGAACCCAACCCTGATGGGTGTAGGAAGCACCGACGTAAGGAGTGCGAGAGATGATGGCACCAGCGTTACCGAAGCCAACCTTGTTGGTGACGTCGTAGATGGTCAGGGTGTCCTCGTTGTAGCCGTAGCAGATGTCACGGCCGTAGTACTTCTTGTGAGGTCCACGGTAGACAATGCACTGAGCGTCGTGAGTGTAGCCATCCTGACCGTTGCAACCAGAGACGTAGGGCTTGGTGGGGTCGTCCATGTTGATGAACATGGGTCCACCGGCACAGGTGTCGTTGCGACCGGGGCGACCGCCAGCACCGCAGGCGACGGCGTAGTTCTTCTCGTTGTTGGCGACGACGGTGTGGGTGCGGCCTTTGATACCCTGGTTGATGTCGACGAGAGCAGTGTCGGTCTTGATGTCAAAAGTGTAGGGCTTCTTGGGGGAAAGCTTGAGCAGCTTCTTCAGGTCAAAGACCTGGACATGGTGGCCGACACCTTCGGAGCCGACAATGAGGCTGTCACGAACAACCTTGATCTCGCGCCAGATGACGGAGTCGTTGTTGGCGGGGAGGCGACCAAGGTACTCGAGCTGACCATCCTTGGTGACCTCGGAGAAGGAGGCACCGTAAGTCTGACCGATGGCAATGAAGTCTCGGCCCTTGTGCGACCAACCCCAGGAACCACTTCCCTCACCAATAGCATCACCGAGCTCCTCGTGCGTCTTGAAGTCGTACATGTCGATATTCTTGCACTGTAATGTTGTTAGTTGAGCGCATCTTCATTGATCTGAATCCTGCTTACCTTGTAGGTCTGGTCGGCATCTCCCTTGACAGCCTCAACGCGGCCATGCTTGCACTCAATCTTGTTCTTGTTGGTCCTCTTCTTAGAGAAACCGTTCCAGCGCTTGCTGTCGTAGGCGCCAGCAGCGCGCTGCTTGGCCCAAGCAGCCTCCTTTCCAGACATCATGAGGTCCATAACCTCTCCAGAGGCATATTGCTGGTGGGTAAAGCCATGAGCGGCGACCAAAGGCAACAAAGCCGTGGTGATAGTAGCCCACTTCATCGTATCGAACAAGACTGCGGATTGACAATTGGCAGTTGATGATGAACCGAGAACCTGGGAGCAGGAAGCAGCACTTTATACATCTTTGCGTCTCTGCACCACACTCGCGGAACCACCGAGTTCCCAGAATGCAGACTCGTGCAGGACGCCGCACATGACTATCATGAGTATACCTTCCTATCGTAGGTACTCCGAAAAGTTAGCAGCCGCAACCAAGACCGTATAGAAGAAACGACAGCGGCCGTTAGACGCAGTAAAGTGCTGGGCGCGCCTTGGTGACTCTTGGGGGTGCTTTTCGCAGGCAACCGTTCATGTACGCCGAGAGCCGTGTGATGCTTGGCAAGCATTCCGCCTTGGATTCGAGCATGGGAGGAGGAGCTACGGCTAGTGTACCCCAGTATTCTGCAGGGCTGGTGGCCGAGAACAAGGCAGGGCTACAGCAGATGCGGTGCAAGCTAAAGTGGGATCTTCTCGCGCGGAGACGGAGATTGGTAGATAGCGTAGCCGGAAGAGGAAGCTGCTTTGGGTGCCAAGAGCTGCTGGACCACCACGACCAAATGACTGCAGAGAGCTTTGAATCCGACTATCGATTCTAGAGAAGGTGGTGAGCGTGTAAGCCGATGGTAGACTTTAACCGGAGTGATGCTGTACGTCGGTGTACGAGGGGATTCAGGCTGACTTCCCAGAAGAGGGAAACGCATGTCAGATGTCGCAATTCTGGTCCTCTAAAATGTGCTTGAAGCTGAGAAGCACACCGTACTGTGCTCATTTCGGCCCAAAATGCTGGATAATAGAAGCCGGGACAAGTGAACAACCGACTGTGCGTATCGGTAGACGTTTACGGCGGCACCGAGGCCCTTATCTCGAGGGTACGTAACTGGGAAAGCGGAAGGGCGATCTCCATGGTCGGCCTTGGCATGGGAGTCGTTGAGTTGAACAGCATAGGTGGCGGAGATGAGGCAGAGAGTAAGGTGGCGACTGAGGGAAATACGGAATGAACGTGGCCGAGAGCGCGGGGGCGACAGTCTCTTGTAGTGTTCCCCATGGGCATTGCTTGAGCTCAATTGATGCCTTTCTTGAGCACAATTGAGGGCATTACAGACAGCACCACGATGGGGCTCGCCTGGAAGCTGCATGCATCGCGTACTTCCAAGTCGCTAGTAACTTGACAGGACCACGGTCGTGGTACTGCCATGGCTTTCACCCTGGGTGATGGACAGGTACAGCCAAGGCCGTCAAGAACATCGTGTTCGATAGTGCTGGGGTGGTTGCAAGGTGCGACACGTGATGCAAGATATGATAGAGTCAGGCAAAGGTAGTCCTGGGAGGTGAGAGTGCTGGCGGAACGAAAGTCAGCGCGGAAGGGAAGCGCGCCTCGGCTGGACCTGCCATGGCGTCGCGACGTCCCTTCTCACCACCCAAGTGCGCGTCCTAGGCCAACTCTGCCCACCCCAGCGCCGGCCAATCACCCCGACGATGCAGCTCACCGAAGACGACCTCTACCGCAGCTCTACGCAGTTCCGCAATTGGTCCTTTACCGCCTCACAACTAGCTGCACAGCGGCTGAAGATCAACGTGCAAGCCACCGAGCGCGTCAAAGCCAATGTCGCGCGTCTACGAGCCCAGCGCGGCAACGATGCCGTAGACAACAATGGAGTCGATTCGGGTATGGATAAAGAGAATGGAAGCGGAACCAGCGGCGCAAATACACCAGATGCACGTATGCAGACGGTGACGGAGATCAATTGCCTCACGGCAGAAGAAGAGTTGAAGATAGTAAACGAATTCTGCGAGCGTGCAATCGCCCTAGGGAACCACTACAGCTTTCCCTTGAACGTTGTCGTACGTTCTCAACCTTCGATCATAAACAGAAAGAGACGAAGTTACTAACCCACCCCAGGCAACATGCATCCAATTCCTCCGCCGCTTCTACCTCTACAACTCGCCCATGACGTACCACGTCAACAACATCCTGCGCACAATAATGTTCCTCGCCACAAAAGTCGAGCTCTTCCCCATCCACGTCTCCTCCTACGCCGAAGGCGCCGGCCGCGCCGTAACCTCCGAAGACGTGCTCGCCCCGGAATACATCATCGTACAATCCCTACGCTACAACCTCGACGTGCGCCACCCCTTCCGCGCCATCAAAGCCGGACACATGGAGATGCTCGATATGGCGCGAGGGAAATACCAAGGGCCTGCGGGGGAGCTGGCGAACGCGAAGGAGGTGCAGGCGAAGATGTGTGCGGTGCCCGTCAAGGTGGGGGCGCAGGCGATGAAGATGCCGGAGAAGAAGGTCGAGGAGAGGGTGAATGCCGCGTATGGTGCTGCGACGAATACGCTGCGTACAGTTGCTGTGCTTACGGACGCGTATTTCTTGTATACGCCCTCGCAGATCTGGCTCGCGGCTCATCTCCTCGCTGATGAACCGCTTACGCTGTTTTACCTCTCTCTCAAAGTCCCTACGTCCAGTCCTATCCACGCGAAGCTTCTCACTACGCTCCGCAACTGCGCGTCGCTCATTTCGAGCCACCGGCTTTATGCTAATGCGTCGTTGCCGGCGGCGGAGCGCGAGGCGAAGGAAGCGAAACACAAAGCGGAGATTAAGTCGCTGGTGCAGAAGTTGAAGAATTGTAGGGATCCGGACAAGGTTGATCTGGTCAAGTTGAATCAGGCGCAGAAGAGGGATGCCGTGCAGGGGGATGCGTTGGAGGAGAGTAAGGCGAAGAGGAGGAAGTTGGCGAGGGAGGGGTATGAGAAGGAGTCTGATGCTTTTTGGGGGCCGGAGTTGGGTAAGAAGGCGGAGTAGTGGTGTATCGAGAGGGATATGGCGTTTGCATACGGATATGGCGTTCATTCATAGCAGACAGCATGGCATGGCGTTCTAGAGGTTTCAAAAAGATACCAGGGTGCTTATAGGTTGAGCGGCACAAGGAGTTTCAAGAGGGTCTGTACAATCAAATTCTCATTCTCGCTGATCTTGCTGCACGCAGACTTGTCTTGAAGGTCTTCATACCACCACCCGTTACGTCGTGTACGAAATCCAACGCTTAACCAATCTCGCCTCTCATGGACCTCACCACACTTCCACCCATTCACCCGCCTTGTCCGAGAGCTGACGTGTAACCAATGCTTTTTCAATTCCATCCATGTTCGACTGAGCCGACGCTGCCAAGCGCTTGCACTCTTATGCGAGAATCCAATCCCGCGTTGAATTCCCCCCGGAGTCTCCACGTGTCAATTAGACATCCGGTCGATATACTTCGTCAGGTACTTAAACTGCACTCTCTCCTTGCGAGGTGCTTCTGTTTGATTTAGTAATCAAAGAATGTTAACGGCCGCGGGTGTACGGAGGAGTACTGCCATGCGGACCTTTTGCAAGACTATCTCTCGGGTCCTTTCTAGTGCCGTTCGGGAACATCGGGGCCACTGGCGCGATGCCTGTCGGTTTCTTGGGGCCCAGCATAGACTTGCCGAGGGATTTAGTGTTGTAGTTGCCGAACATGCCACCGGCGGTGGTGCCTGGGCGCGCAGTCTGTCCAGATTTACTGTTGCTTTTGTCAACTTGCTTCTCCGCCTCATACTTCTTGCGCTGCTCAATCAGGGTCTCCATCTCTCGAAGGTTCTTGCGGGCCTTCGCTGGCACCTGGGCCATGTCGTTCTGGAAAGAGTGGAGGATGTGGGCCTTGCGCTCCTGGTACTTCTTTTCTAGCTGGGCGACACTGTACTCGGCTTCGCGATCCTTCTTTCTCTTCTTGAGTGGGGGTGGTGAACTTGGCGAGCTTGACGAAGAGGAAGTCGGAATTGCAGGGGGGCTATCGTCAAGCTGCGGTACAGGCTGGTCGTGCTCGGAATGGGAGTCGGCCTCGTCTACAAGCGGTTGCTCGGGAATCGCTGCATCCCGGGGGCCAGATGCAGCACGGGGTTTAGTATTGTGGGCTTCGTTCTGGGCCTTCTTCTGAACAGAGGACGCATACTCCTCGCGACGACGCGCCAGTTCTGAACCTGCTGTCTGAGACATGACAAGAGCACCATTCTCAGCCTCCTCCTCATCGGCGAACTGCTCTTGAGGCTCTCCGCTGACTTCGCGAGCAACATGGGTGTACTGTGGGCCCGGTGATGGCTTTGCCGACGTAGTAACGCTTCCTCTGTCATGGATTTCTGGGGTACGCTTTGGGTGGGACTGGCGAGCCACGCTCTGGTTTGAAAGTCGCTGAGTGGAGCGGGGATCCACAGGAGGAATTTCGTCGTCATCATCGTCCGAATCATCGTCTGAATCTCCGTGGAGTTGAGACGACTGGAGCGCGCGTGGTGGTGACATCTCAGGTTCTGCCACGTCGTCAATGTTTTCGACGTCGTCGACAGGAACTTCCATGTCATCTTCGAACTGGGCCGAATCATTGGCAGTGGCATCGCCGAGCTGTTCAGCGTTCCCTGCCCCATTTCGTACAAAGGAGGGAACGGGAGTCCTGGAGTTGTTTCCACCGCGATGACTGTGTTTGTCTTGGTGATCGTGACGGCGGCTTTGATCGTGGGTAGAATCACGGTCTCGGTCACCGTTTCCATCTTCACGATCCCTCGAAGGCCCTCCAAAGTCGTGCCTATAACTAGGCGTGACGCGATCAACGCGTTGACCAAAGGTCTCGTCGAAATCTTGGAGGACACTCTTCAGATCGACAATGGCCGTATGTAATTCCGGGAAGTCGCTACCACAAGAAGAGTAGATCGTGACCACGTTCCAAGACGCAATCATGAGGTTGTTGAAGTTGGGGAACGCAGTCTTGACGACGGAGTTGAAGAGGTCGACTTTGATGTTGCTTGGGATGGTGTTGAACATGTTACTTTTCACATCCTCCGGAATTATGTCGAGACCAGCGCGCTTGCGTTTGTTAGAGATATGGGGAATAACCTCGTCATTCGGACGCCGCTTTCGTGACTTCCTCGCTGTTCTATTGTCAGCGTTGGAAATTCATTATGTCTTTCACACTTACTGTGAGTAGGAGTGGGATCGTTCTCAGCCTTCATTGGGTTGAGCCTAGTAAGGCTCTATTTGATGTTAGCCAACAGTACTCAAATGCTTTGATTCATCTGAAAGCAGTGTCTTGCGATAGTTTTCGTAAAGCCAACCATGAATGGGCAGACATACCTCTCCGTCATCAAACAGCACCGGTGCCTGGTACGGCATATTGTAAGCAGCCCGCCTCGCTCCGTTGATCTTGTTCACCCTCATGTAGAGAATCTGATACTTCTCTTTGAACAAGGGTAGCATACCACGAGCAATGAAACCATGAATGGGATGAGAGTCGAGTTCATCCTCCTCCAGAGGCAATGGATCTTCAACGTGCATCTGGACTTGGTTATCCTCCACCACCAGGTAAATACGGTGTATGGCGTTCTTTTCTTCCGGTAGTATGACATTTCCGAGATCGAAACGAGTGGCCTCTTCTTTGAGGGTAACAAAGACCAGATCAGGCTTGACCACGCCATTTATCCTGGTGTATGTGGGTGGCTCGTCGTTGCTGAGGCCCTCGATGAATGTGTTCAGATGCGTCGGGTCAACATAGCGAAGTTGGTCGCGGAGAATAAGCGCGCGTTTCTGGGGCTTATTGAGCGCGCTGAAGGTGGGCGCCGCCGTTGCAACAGCAAGTGACATTTCGAGTTGGTGTCTGAGTCGGGAGCAGTGGTAGTCTTCTGTGGTTACTGCGTGAACTTGCCCCAGAGGCGCAATTGATATGAGATGGCTATACTGAAATGCAACCCAAGCTGGAAAAATGTAGTGGGGGAGATGAGATAGCAGATCCAGGTCGTGAATTGCTGTATATATACCCTAAGGGGGGCGAGCTAGTGCACGTCTCTTACCCTCGTGGACTGCATTGCGGAGTCTTCTACCTGGGTAAAGGCGGGGCCCCTACGAATAGTTGAGGTAATAGCGCATATTCCCCCGCAAGGTTTCGCCCATTGGTGATGTTCTTGCTGTCGTGGTGCTCTTGCTCGGCCTGGCAAGCCCTGAGCTCGACTGGAATAGTGCAACGGGGGATGAAGACAGACTGGCAGGGTCGATTGGCATTTCTTGCGATTTCATGTCCACAGAGCGATTCGTAAGGGTAGGGGAGAAGAAAGCGATTGTATAGGAGACGATAAGATGGTTGGTGGTTTCCTCTTGACTTTGATCGGATGACACGAGCTGCGCACGGTCTCTTACAAGCCCTCAAGGCAGTCACGACCCGGACAGAACTTCTGATTGGGGATCGCTACTCATTGAGTGGTCCCAATAGTTCCGATCATGAATGAGACGCCGACTCCACTTCGCATGTGGGAAGCAGCCCTCTTTCATGCATCGCTGCTATTGTCAGCCAGCGACATCTCAACCAAGGAAACTCACTGTAGATACGCGCACATATACATCACGAAAAAGCTAGAAGGGTATGCATGTTGTATAGGTTTCTAGCCATGACAAGATGCTTCCTATGTGCAACTTGTACTAATACACTTGCACATTGCTCTTGAGTGTTGAAGATGATGTCCCTAGCCCAATATCTCTTACGCTTACAAGTACAAGCCCTCCGGCTCACCCTCCGTCTTCGTCTTAAGGACACGTTCCCTTGCGGTGCGGAAGTCCTCCATGTTGACGCGCATACGACGCTCACGGAGCGCCATGAGACCCGCTTCGGAGCAGATGGCCTTGATGTCGGCACCAGAAAGGTCGTCCTTCTGGTTGATGAACTCGTCGAGATCAACGTCCTCGTTAAGCGACATCTTGGAGGTGTGAAGAGTGAAGATCTTCTTCTTGGTGGTTTCTGTAAACGGTTAGTAAGTGTATGGCGGACATGGGGAATAAACTCACGATCGGGGTTCTCGAAGAGAATCTTTCGGTCAATACGGCCGGGACGGATAAGGGCAGGGTCGAGTGTCTCGATCTTGTTGGTGGCCATGATGACCTTGACATCTCCACGGTCGTCGAATCCGTCCAGCTGGTTGAGCAACTCCAACATGGTTCGCTGAATCTCACGCTCACCACCGGATGTGGACTCGTAACGCTTGGTACCGATAGCATCGATTTCGTCAATGAAGACAATGGAAGGCGCGTTCTCGGCGGCGGTCTGGAAGAGCTGTCGCACGAGTCTGGGACCGTCTCCAAGGTACTTCTGGATCAGCTCACTACCCACGATACGCAGGAAAGTTGCGCTGGTCTGGTTGGCCACGGCCTTGGCCAGAAGCGTCTTTCCGGTACCTGGTGCACCGTAGAGGATGACACCTTTCGGGGGCTTGATACCCATCTCCTCGTACAGTTCCGGATGTAACAGGGGCAGCTCGACCGCCTCCCGCACCTCCTGGATCTGTTGCTCTAGACCACCAATATCCGCATACGACTCTGTGGGCGCCTTATCCAGCTTCATGACGGATACTAGCGGATCGGCATCGTCTGTGAGCACACCGACTACTGAAACCGACTTGTGATGCAGCAGGATGCTCGCTCCGGGCTCTAGCAGATCCTTGTCGACGAAAGACATGATGGAGACGTAGTACTCGGGCCCGGTGGCGCTGGAAACAATGGCGTGGTCGTCGTCAATGAGCTCCTCGAGGTTGCCGACGCCCATGGGACTGCCGCGCATGTCGTCGACGCGTGAGCGCTCATCGGCGTTCCGGTCTTCGGCATCCCCTGCGTTGGCTGCGGGCGCGTTTCCTTCCTTCACCGCCTTGGCCTTGCGCAGGCGCTCCTGGTTCTCGACGTACTCCTCCTCGAGCAGGAGATGGTCGTGGATGCGCTGCATTCGGAGGTAGCGTAGCTTGCATCGTGCGGTCGGGTAGACGGTCGGGAGCTTGGCGGCGGCGCTGGGTCCGGCGGCCTTCTTCTTCTTCCTACCGATGCGGGTTGTGGGTTGTGGCGGCGGCTCGTACTTTGGCTTCTCCTTCTGCAGAGGGCGTTGTTAGTGCGTGCCAGGTGCGGTGAGGCAACAGATAGCGGACTCCCGAGAGCCATCACCACGTGTCGTGGGGCAGCACGTACCTTGTCCTTCTTGTTCTTGTCATCTCCTGGAGGCCCGCCGCCTCCAGCACTCGATTGCTGGTTACCCTGCACGGTGTTAGCATGTGGCCATGGTGGTTTCCGAGGGAGGCGATCTTACCATGACACGCGATCAGGTGATGAAAGGCGAATCAGGCGCTCGACAGTATGCAGCGACTAGAAGAGAAAGGACCACAGCGAGGGTGGTGGGAACGGGCGATGGCGGTGGTGAGGCGGTGGTTGTTTGCAAGAGGTGTTGATGCGCTGATTCCGAAGCTCGTGGATGTCGGAGGATCGGGGTTAGCGCCTCGTGGCGTCACTGCCTCGAGCCGCTGGAAGCCTCACCATTCCACCTCCATAGAGCAACAGACACGTCAGGCCCTGTCCGATAGCCGTACATTTCTCGCTGTGCGCTCCATTTCACTAACACTTCTTCTTCACCCACCAGATTCCCGAACCCCCCGTTGTAGTATTCCCTCTGAGCTTCGACCCCGCCGGCGAGCCAGCTCAAAGCTCCCCACGCGGGTCAAGAGGTACTCTCCATCGCTACCAGACAAGGTCTTGGAGTAGGTCCAGTACGTTCGCATCGTTTCGCAGGTGAATCACCACGCCACAGCCCCCTCTCAGACACCCCAAGACCTGCATGACACACTCCCCGCACTGCAACTTGGTCGAGCCGGGACCACTTCGCGAGCCTGAGGCTGACTTCTGTACCTAGAAATACCTTGGTCGCGCCTACCTGCTGCCTACTCGTAACATTTCCTCTTCATCGCCCTTTTCACCCCAAACCTTCTCCCATACCCCACCACCATGACTTCCAACCGCAACCGGCGCATTGCCAAGGAGATTGCCGACATCCACAACGATCAGCACTCCAAAATCGTCGTCGAACCGGCAGGCAATGGCGAAGATCTCACACATCTACGGGGGCAGTTCTTTGGTCCTCCTGACACACCATATGAGGGAGCTACCTACAAGGTCGACATCCGGATTCCGAGCGAATACCCCTTCCGCCCGCCGCTCATGAAGTTCGAGACCAAGATCTGGCACCCCAATGTCAGCTCACAGACAGTACGTAGCAAGCAAGACCCCCAGATACCATTCAAAAAAGCTAACAGTAGTAGGGCGCTATCTGCCTCGACACCCTCTCCTCGCAATGGTCGCCAGTTCTGACCATTAAGTCCGCTCTGATCTCGCTACAATCGCTCCTCAGCACACCCGAGCCAAAGGACCCACAAGACGCAGAAGTCGCCGGCATGCTGCTTAGGAACCCCGCCGAATTCGAACACAAGGCACGCGAGTGGGCCGTCACATTCGCTGGTGCGCCGCGGAAGGAGATTGCTGAAGGAAGCGGGGGAGCCACAGCGGCATCCATCAAGAAGAAGGCGCAGCAGGCGAAGCAAAACGAAGAGCAGTCCAAGCTGGCTGCGTACAAGGGCTACAACAAGGACTTGGTAGATCGCTTTGTCGCTATGGGCTTCGATGTCGACGCCGTGGTCGCCTCGTTTGAGTATGTTGGTATCGATCGCATGGGCGGCGAAGACTACGAGCTAGAAGAAGCCTACATGGGTGACATTACAGCTCGGCTCTTCGGCGAAGCATAGTAGCTCCCCATATCTTGTTTCGACTCAGCATCTCTTGTTCGACTTCCAGGGCGCAAAGGCGTTTTCATTCCTCAGACCATCACATCCATTAAATTCTTCATGGGAGGCGGCGTAAAGTTGATGGGTTATTAGGAGTATTGGGTGTACATGATCACGGGAATAGCGTAGGCGCGCTCCTAGTGAGTAGCAATGTAGTGTCAATCAAAGTTTGTTACATTATGCTTCTTGTCTCATTATGTCGTATGTACAGGCGTTTCCTCCTCTTCTTGCTTGACGTTTATACCGAATATCGTTGACTGGGATTCTTACGCGGTGGCACGGTCAGCGTCAATGAAGACACCATTCGAGTAGACACCATCAGCGCTCTCATCCTTCTTAAGCGTAAGAGGAGCATCACCAAACACAGTCATCTTATTCGGCTTCTCAATATTCTGCTGGACCTTGACAGCTATTCCACATATTAGCATTCTCTTCCCACATATCACATCATAACCGGAAGGATAAACTTACTCTCGCCATCATACTCATAGTCAAAAGTAGGAGGATCACAGCTCTTGCTCTCCATGGGGTTCTTGCTAGGATCGTACTCGTAGTCGCAGACGGTGTGAATGACGTTCGTGCCAGAGTACTCGTCAGACACAAAGTCCGCGAGGAGCCTCTGCGACTTGAAGCCGGAGTCGAGCGCGTGCTGTGTGATGGTGACGTTCCATTTGCCGTAGACTTTGGCGTTTGCGGCGGTGGCGGCGGTGGCCAGGGCGAAGAGGGCGGTGCTGAAGTGCATTTTGGGGGTTGGTTGGTGATTGGTTGGGTATGGGTGTTGTTGTGTTGGGAGTGATGGGGATGGGGAAAGGGATATCTAGAAAGCGATGACAAGACCGTCTTATATGTCCATCTCCCTTCGTAAGACGACGTCAAGAGCGGTCTGTTGGTCGGCGCATTTACCCACCGCCTCGTTTTCGTGCGCCTAGCATGGTCCTAGCATCTGGATACTCTACGGCTGCACTCACACAAATACCGCTACTGCTGACGCTGGGTGAGCACTTC